CACACACACACACACACACACAAAACAAAAACACACACACACACACACACACACACACACACACAAAACACACACACACACACACAGGTCACACTGAACTCACAAAGTATAAACAAAAAAAGTAGTGCGCATGTCTTGTCAGCGGGATCAACTTCCTGACTCCTCCTCCTCCCTTTCATTAGCCAATAGGCGAAGACGGCCAACGCTGCTTGCTGTGACGTCACTGCCGTTGAGGAGCATGGGTAGCCGTCAGAAGCCAATGAAAGATCCACGCCTGAAGATAGGGTTCAAGTACATAATGTGTCTTAGTGCTTGTCTATTTTGTTTGTCTTTGGTGACCCTCTAACAGATACCTGTTTCGCATCTGTGGTGAAATAGGGTGTTTTCCGGCTGAATGCAGAAGACTTGAGTTTGATTCCCGTCTCAGAAAGATTTTTATTGCGGAGGCCTATTGCCGAGATTTTGTATCCTACCAAAGATAGTACATAAGAAGATTGTTCACTCCTCTCTTTGAGCCAATTAAAAACGTGTCCTCAAAATCCGGTGGCGCCCTCTTAGAAAAAGTGCGGACTTTGCGAACAGTTACCCTACGTGTGTGAAAAACAATAAAAGTAAAATCGAAACTAACAAATCTTCTGGAGAAACGAAAGACAGCTTCAAAACAAAGACAGCAGTGCCATCTGACCCTCCGCGGACACTTTTTTGGCCAAATGAACTATCTTGTTATGTACGATCTTTGATTCTACTCAGTGTGGTTGGTTCGAGGGCAGGTTTAAAACAACCTGCCTCCTAAATTATCAAAATGGGAAAAATGGGGGTGTAAACCATAGGCCTACCCCCAAAACACGGATTGTCTCGGGCATGCTTCAATCTGCAGGTGAGATTTTGAAACTAGTAAGTTGATTGGAGGAGGTAAAATTCTGTTTTCAAAACTAAAACAATTTACAACATTCATCTACTTCATGGACGTCTTGTTTTGGCAAGAGCATACTATTCAAAAGCACCCGTTGCTTACTACTGTTGTCTACCAAATACAAACAGTCGGCATACACGCTGATAACATCTTTTGAAAAATAGTCATAACTCAAAAGAGAGTGGGTTTTTTTTTCTCCAATAGTCACAATTAGTTAATAGCGGAATATTGACCCCGCGTTCGTTGTGGCAAGCGATCTTTTCTGTGTTTCGGAACATATCAAGACCCTTAGAATTCTATTGATAAACATTTTCGGGCCTATACTGGGTTGAAATTAATGTAAATCGAGCTCGCCTGCAAGTGGTTGGAGAGCATCAGTGGCGTCCTACTTTTTTCCTCTCCGTCTTCAGTTCCTGTCTCTCTGTTGCACCCC